GYTCAATTGTTATGCACATGGAAATAAATTTTCTTCAAAAGTTGCTTTTTAACCTAGCATGCTGTTTTGTTTCAGAGAAGAGAAGGAACAGCTGCCCTATGTGAATAAGCAGTGAGATGGGAGACAGAGCTGTCATGGGTATGAGAGCAATTTCTGACTCTGCCATTGATGGGATAAGGTGAGATTCCTTCTTAATTAGTGGTGCTTGAGCAAACTAAGTTTGGATCTCTGGGCCAAAGCATGCAAAACAAATAAAGGGCAGTACAAAGTGACAGATTATATGTGTGTGTGTGTGTGTGTGTGTGTGTATATATAATATATATATGCAGCTACTTCTCCTGGTATGCTAATTCTGCCCTCCATCTTCATGGCACAAATTTGCAATAGTGCTAAAAGGCACAAGGATCCCTTAGCTGGTTTCTTTTTGGTTGTTGTCAATTCCTACAAATATCTCCATCATCAAGAATTAGTAACAGCGGGAAGAGAAAAATAGGGAGTCAGAAAATTATTTTTAAAAAAACTCAACTGTTTCCTCTCAAGGCTGCTTTGAATTCTACTCTCCTGTGCTCACAGTAAGTTAGAAAGAGTAGATAGATGACAAAGAGAGAGCAAAGGAGGAGAGCAGAAGGGAAAGCAGAAGGGAGAGAGAGAGAGATAATTCCATTCTGCCCACCTAGAAATATCATACTCAACTCACTGGTTGAGCATGATAGTCTCAGTCATGGTCACATAAGGTCACTAAAACCAGTCTGGWAAAGCTGGAGCTGGTGGCCAGGATAGCAACTGCTTGGGATATGTATAAAGAGATGTTACAAAAAAAAAAAAAAAAGGGGGTGGGGGGGAAACAGCAAAGAACATTACAACAATTACAACATAGCTAAAATGTCCAACGTGCATCTCCTTTTCCTAGGAGAGTGGAAACTTTCACCCCCACCTTCCCACCGAAGGATCAATAAGCATCCCTAAAACATGAGTCTGAGATGCCGATAGAATACAGCATGAAGGAGAAAAGAAAGCATATGGGGAGAGAAGAATGGGACGATTAAGAAGCAGGGTCTTTGGTTTAATGACAGATGCTGCAACAAGAAAAACAGAGAAGAAAAGAAGGGCTAAGAATGGTTGTGCCCTTCAGAGGACAAAATGACAGTCTTTAATTGCTCAGAAGGTTTTCAAAATGAAGTGTCTACCTCCAGCAGAGGGAAGATTAATCTTCATGGAACTGTTTGTATGAGGAGTTGTTAGATGTCAGGGCACTGCAATTTTAGATGAAGCTGCTGATAGAATCAAATCAGTATTTCAAGCAAAGAGGGTGAAATGTATTTACTGTGATTTAAAGTGATCCAGATTATTACACTGATGTCAGATCATTCAAAACTCTATTACAGAGACATGTCACAGGCAAAAATCCTAACAGTTTCTTTGCACTGTTCCTTCGGGAATAATAACATGAGTTGTTATCAACTGGATTCCTTTTTTTATTATTATTTATTTATTATTATTATTTTTCTCTCTGATGGCTGTGGGATTTTGTTTAGTCTTCCAGAAAAAAATGAAGAGATAAAAGTGYTGTAAGTCACTCTGCGTAGTGAATGTATGGTAAGGATAGTATTCTGCCAAAGTCTTGACAAATATAAAAACTGAGTCTCTTGTGATCATTGAGACATACATGCACCTGAGAGTCAGAACTGTTCTGCAGGAAGCTAACCCCGCTTATGGTAATATGCCAGACAGACATGCTACTGTAACAGGGTCCATTCTACAAGTGTTCCTGCAATTTGCTGGTGTACAGGAATTATCTGAATTTAAGTTTTTAATTCACACTTATAAAATTTCAACTATTAACTTGCCCCGGTGATTTGTTTTGTATGGGAAAGTAATGATAAAATTTCTTCCTCCTCCTCTTATCTTATGATCAATTTGTTCATCAGGAAAGAAGAGTTCCATCTCTTGCCTGACTCCCTCCCTTGACCGTCTGTTTTCACTTCCCCACTTCTTTAGTCAAGTAACTTTTAGTGACAATGTTCTGTCAAAGGAAAGAYTTACTGACAAGGACTGAGACAGCATACATTTCACAGAAGTAWTATCCACATGATAGAGCCAAGAAGGCAGGCGCATAGTGTTACCATCATAAAACCATTTGGTATATATACAATAATCAAAACACAACTAAAAGAATCACAACTATCGCAGCTATCACAGAATCATAGAATGGTTGAGGTTGGAAGGCACCTCTAGAGATCATCTAGTCCAACCCCCCTGCTCCAGCAGGGACACCCAGAGCACGGGGCACAGGGCGGCATCCAAGACAGTTTTGAAGACCTCCAGAGAAGGAGACTCCACAGCCTCCCTGAGCAGCCTGTGCCAGGGCTCTGTCACCCTTATAGGAAAGAAGTTCTTCCTCASATGCAGATGGAATTGCCTGTGTTTCAGCTTATACCTATTGTGCCTTGTCCTATCACTGGCCACCACTGAGAAAAGCTTGGCCCCTTCCTCTTTACATTCACCCTTTAGGTACTTATACATATTAATCAGATCTATTCTCAACCTTTTCTTCTCCAGGCTAAACAGGCTCAACTCGCTCAGTCTTTCCCTGTAAGGCTGAGTGTTTCCTTGTAAGGGACTGTGCTCCAGTCCGTTAATCATCTTTGATTACACCCCCTCTASAAGCTCCACATCCCTCGTCCTGGGGAGCCCAGAACTGTCCCCAATACTCCAGGTGCKGCCTCAACAGAGCTGAGCAGAAGGGYAGGATCCCCTCCCTTGACCTGCTGGCAACACTGCTCCTGATGCAGSCAGGAGCCCATTGGCCTTCTTGGCCACAAGAGCACACTGCTGACTCATGGTTAACTTGTTGCCTAACTTTTTTATCTGCTCTTTTTAAAAGTAACACTTACTTAAGTGATTTTTCATCTCGCTTCCTTATAAAAACTCAACTCATATAGGCCTCTAGTATAACCAAGAAGCTTGTTGACTAGCTGCTCATCAGTTCCTGATGGATGTTTCTATCCTGTTACAGTAAGTCACAGAGCAACTAGGATGCTCTGAGCAACTCCATTTTTTGCTTCATGAAATCCAGGGAATTGACTAGAATATTTAAAACAGTTTAACTTCTGTTGTTCAGAGAACACTTCTCTTCCCATATATACTTTATTTCAGTCATAGTTAGGATCAGATAGAAATCTTCAAATTAAGATCAGACTCCAAAGAACTAAAGACTTCACAAGTGAGATGCATGACACTTAAGCTTTTTCTACTCGTATAAAATTGATGACCTTCAGTGCATGCTTAAGTTGCCTTGTAAGTGTCCTTATACAGGAGTTTCCTAAAGGCTACAAAGGGTAAAGTGACATATTCCTTGCAATCTGTTTCAGGTTGATGTGGATTTTTTTGATTTCTCATATTTTAGTGTAAAGACATTGAAGTACAATTATTATTGAGAGAGGTAAAGGAGGGCAGGAGGAAAAACAACTTGATGAAAAGAATTTTGTCAGAATAGTATAGCAACCAGGTATGTTATATTACCAGGCTGGCTATGTAGCAACTAATAAAGTGGAATAAAGTGACAAAGCTGTAAAGACTTTAATGTAAARACTTTAAAAATGTATTACTGAACGTATCCTGCCTGTACCTGTGAGCTGCAGTTTAGTTTTTGGTTGGCAAGCATCTACTTTTTGAAGGAAAATCTCTTAAGCATACACCCCTCAAGTGACCAAACACATGTATAATCTAAAGACAGGAAGATATTTACATTTGTAGTGTTAAAAAGTTGGGTACCTTTGTCAGAACATGAAAATGGCTCTTAAGAACAAAATAATTTAWACTACATATATAGAAACAAAAAATATACTCTAGTGGGTATGGACTGTTCTCTTCAAAGGGGGAAAGACTGTAGCATAGGAAGAATAAAGGAGCCAGACTGATTTGGACAGGGTTAGATAGAAGCATATTCAAGATGGCCTTGAGTCTACTCAAAGTCAAACTCTCAAATTTAAATTGAAACCAATTCTCTCCAAAGGATCATAATCCTCATCTTGTTATAATTCTCCTTGGTCCAGTGACAAAAGCTTGGATTGCTTTAATTATAGCTGAAATCTGTTAATAGAAAATYTGGAGAAGGCTGTCAGAACCTGTATTAAAATTCAAGCCATCTCAGTTCTTTTGTTGGAAACAGAGATTGTGAACATGGAGAGTTAGGAGGAGGAGTAGGACTGGAAGGGTGAAAGTGAAATAGCACAGCTATCTTCCAACAGTAAAATTAGCAAACCAATTAAAAGGATTTCCATCCTGTCATTGCCAAATCACTCTGTATTAAAAAGGAAACTGAAGATCTGCTACAGAGCAAATAGTCATGCTTGTAATTTAATGAATGGTAAGTACATACATGAACAAGACTCTACTGAATGGTTATCACAAGCAGCCATGTCCCTCATTGATTAATGACCCCATGTGTGACCAAGGACTCCATTTCTAAGCATGGGTCATAGTCAGCAGTGTCGTCAGTGCAAATAACTGCTTTTAGCTTACCCTCTGAATGAGGGAGTTAAACTATTACATGAGGAAACAATACAGTGATTATTTTCATACATAGAAAACTTAAGGTTATTAAAGAATTATGGATTGGTGAAGYCAGATTTGTTTCCCAAGGTAAATACATCTATGTAAGAACCATATTCAAGGCCAGAGCACCTTGTTGATATAAAAGTAATTGTGATTCTCACCTCAGTTTCATTTTTGGTGTTAAACATAAAATCCTGACACAAGTAGGACCCAACAGACAGTCATTGATAAGGTRTGAAAAACACATACTTTGGAGTAAATAGTATCAACATGCAGAAGGCATAATTTATAGAGTTTTCATATGTGTATCTGTGTTTACAAACATACACATACACTCCACACAGGACTCATACAAGATGTCTTGATCCTGGCCTTTTGCTAATAGAAGATCTATACAGAATGTTCTATCAAAAGCAGCTATAACTTAGCTTCTTCCAACTTACAAGCTTCCCGGAGCTTTTCTTTGTCATAATGTAGCCCCTCATATTCTTGTAAATTAATTCTGTTCACTCTGATCCGTAGACGATCTGGGATGGAATGAGGACTGCAAGAAAAGAAAAAAAATCTTCTTAGGCAAAGTTCCATAGAAAAGCAAAAAGAAGCCATAAAGTGCTTTTAATCTTCTCTGAAAAAAGAAAAAGAGCAATCCTCTTCAAAACTTGGCCAACTCCCCACGTGCTCATCACCAAGCATGTTTTACAAGACTATGACTACAGACTTCACAACAACATTGGCACTACATCATATGAAAAGAATGAACAAGAAGCTCAGTCCCTGGCTGTGCAGTCTGGATTGCAAAGACTTTTTTTTATGAACTCATTAATATCTATACAGATATTCCATATTCCTCCAATTTGCCTTTTTGTGAAGTCCTATGAAATCAGTAAAGCTGCCAAGCTCCAAATCAGATCACAGTGCCATCCCCAGCTTTCTGGGAATCCTCTCAGAACACTCATGGGCATCCAGCCAGCCAGGCAGCCACCCAAACATTCAACCCTGCATGTAGAGGATTCTTATTCAGCAGCTGTGTTTTGAGGAACAGCTAACAGAAATGTGACTAAGAAATGGTCTTCTAAAGTAAAGAGTCTRGTACATGAATCCCAGGAGGACTTGCAAGTAACAGCAAGTAACTTGCAAGTAACAGCACAGGTACTCCATTTCTAAAGATTCCAGTTAGATTTAGATACYTTAACTGCCTATGTACTTTTGAAATTCTTTGTAAATTAACATTTTTCTTTGTAAATTGCATTTTCTATTCATAAAATGGAATAGAAATCCTAAGTATGAAAACACGCAAACCAATGTGCGTGCTGCAAGAACTGGCCACTGGTCCAGGGAAGGTTCTTCACTCTCAGCTTCTACCAAATATTGTACGTTTCTCCCTACATTTTAATGAACTTACTTAGTAACAGGACTTTCAGTGCTATAAACACCTAAAGCATACACTGAAAACAAAATTTTAACTATGGACAGACAGCCATATAAAAAGACTCGCTGTTTTCTTACTCTCAATTTTAAAGAACCCAACCTACAGCATTTGCATTGCTAGCTTAAAAGCTGATCAGCAGAAAACACATCTAAGAATGTAAAAATAAAAAACATTTTTTAAATAGGTGAGCAATTTTCTTCTTTGCCTGACTATACTGCAGAGCTAACAGAACATATGCTTTGGGGCCATCTCTTGGTAGATCCACAGACGCAGCAGTTAGCAAGGGTTTCAGAGTTAGCTTATTGCATGCTTGCAGTGTATTGGTAAGAACAGCTCTGTTCATGTGGACAGATGAAACAAACTGAAATGAAGACCAGATTAATCTTCTTTGGTACAAGTCCTCTTTGCCAATATAGTTATCAAAAAAAATGAATTGAGGGTGCCTGTATAATTGGAGTGTAAGATAATATGCCACAAAGAGCTGCACTGGACATACTCCTGTTTTGAACAGGATTTTCTACAGTAATGATGAAAATAACCCTAAAATACACAAAGAACAGCTTTGAAGAAGACACAAATGTTTAATAGTGGCAGCAAAACTGATGTACTAAGCTACATATAAGCTGACCAATGTTTTTCCTGTCCTGACAGGGACTGCTGTGTCAAATTGTGGCACAAGATGCTTAGGAAATTGTCCAAAAGCAAGGTAGGCTTTTATAGCTGGTTTGGCAGACATCTGGTATAGTAACTTCCAGAACAGCTTCATGGGGCAAGCTTCTCATTCAGCTGCTTTGTGTTATTCCCCCAGAACAGTGCTCTCCATCTGCAGCCTCAACAGCCCGCACAGCAAGCAGAAGATCAGTGCATGCAAGCAGGGGTAAGGTGTACAGGTTGAACAAGAATGCAATTACACTGAGTCTCTCTCACCTTTTTCATCCCCCTTTACCTCCTATTTCTAAGGTGAATTAAATGTCAGATTGCTGGCTGAGCAATGAAGAATTTAATCTGAGGAATTTCACCATCCCTTCCAAACTCTATGAAAAAGCATGGTGGATTTTATTTTTAGCTAAGAGAAGAGAAGAAATTGTTTAAGTGAGAAAGTACAGCAATAGAATTGCATAGTTTATAGTTTTTGTCTGAACAGAGGAAAAAATAATTCAGTGCACAGAGTAGAGTTCCTGAGAATGACAAACTGACAGTCCTGAAAAGTGAAGTCTTTTATATGCTGATACGGCCCAAGAAAAAGCTGTTGCTGCTTTTCCCATGATGTTCTGTCAACATGCATTATTATGAAAGTAGTTCAGTCTTCCAACCCACAGGTTAACAACTGGGGGATAGTTGGCAGGTCTGGAGGAGAGACTGGTGATGAATTACCTCTTCTTCAAATTCAGCTGGGAGGTAAGGGGGTGAACAGAGACAGCAAAATTCAGAAACATCTTATTCCTGTTGTGACACCAGAACACACTACAAAGACAGCTGAGAATGCTGTCTTTGCTCTATGCTAACAAAGAAGGCCTTTTTTCCCCTCAAATGCTCCTCACAGGAATTAAGAGTAATCAAGAGCAACATGTGATGTGGACACCTATCCACCAGTCCCTCCTCAGAGACGTCCAAATCTCCTCTGAAAAAGCAGCTAGACAGTGAAAAACAGAATTAGCATTTGGGGCTTACAGTCCTCGATATCCCTTGAGTTAAGGTGAATGCAAACTCAAATGAAAAACTATCTGTTTTCAGAAACAAAATACTGTTACTTCTAGAACTAGTATTGAATATGAAATAGTTCAGGGAAGTTTGGTGCAATCCAAATTGGAACTGTATGAAAGCAGCCAGTTACCAGTTCAAAATAACTGACTAAAGCCTGACATTCCTGGGCGGCACTTGTCCAACACAGCATGATTGCACTGCAGAGCAGAACTGTCTTTCTTACTCATTCCACTTCTCTCCCTTGCTGCAGGATTCATCCGTGTGTGAAGCTCAGGCCTTACCTTCTACACCGTGACCCTGCACTGTGATGCCCAGCATTGCTCGCTTTTCCAGAGGGRAACAGAACTTCGCATCTTCCTAAAGTTGGATGTTGAACTCCCAATGAAAGATTTCCCAAAGAAAGTTTTCCCAATGAACTCCCAAAGAAAGTTTTCTTTTATTTGATCCCTCTCACCTCCCACAGCAGAGATCCAAGCRATACCTGTTCTCCAACTGCCCATCAGGTTCCACTAGGTTGCTTTTCCTGTTGCAACCCATTGATATCCTTCTCTGTAAGAGATGTATTTGTATATATACTTTGCACTTCTGTGCTTCATGTGAAGGACCTACTAGGTCTCGTTTCACTCACTGGTCTTACTCCCATCCCTTCGTGCATGACAGGATAGGGGCGTGCCAGACAGAGGCGGCTGGAGATGAGCTATGCCCTACCTTGGGAAACATCTGGGACAGAGCAGGGGAGTCTCTCCCGAGCCTGTGCATCACCCTGTGAGCTTGTCCCAATCATACAACCCTTTCAAACCTTGTGTGGGCAGGAATTCAATCTTATTCCCAAACTCCTTTATTCATTCCTCCCCTAATACTTCCTTCAGATAAAAAGTTAGGTCTTTGGAGATGGTATTTTTCAGTCTCACTTTCTTCAGCAAAGAGTCCTCTTCCCACCAAGACTTTTTGTTTTCAGTTGAAAATTGAATGATTGAAAGTATTTGGATGCTAATCTAAATAGTTATTATTWTAAATAATTATAATTATCTAAATTACCTACAGAGGAAAAGAAACATCAGCGCTAAGAGGTTCTTTTCTAAAAGGCAGAGAATGTATATACACTTAGTTAAATGCAGTCACAGCGTAATAGGGTTACAAGTGTAAAACATATAGACAGTGTTAATTCAGTGATCAAAAGTTTTGCCATTTTACAGTACGGTTGGTGTTTGGCACCATAATAATGTCTCCCTCACTTTCACTACCTAGTCAATCAGTTGAGGCTCTAGAAATTCACTATGCAAACATTAGCTTCTTGTGCTATCAGACTGGCAATGSRCACCACATAATATCATTCTCATCACCCAACTAATTAACTCATTCACTCACACAGCTCATGAGCACCACAAAGAGCTCTGTTCTATGTAGCTGTACAAAAGAGTTCCACCATAAATACTTCTGCAGTTTTTCACATACAGTGTATAATAATCCATATTATATGAATTGCCCASTTACTATTGCAAAGTGCACAGTTGCACAGTTTAGTTATTCTTGAACGATTTAGACAAATTCAGCACATTCAGAAACAAAAGAACTCAGACACATAAATGTGTCTATTTAAAAGCTATTAATATGGTGATAAATGTTGCTGAAAGCAAATGTTAGTATTAATAGAAATGGATGTTTCTAARCACTATATAATACAATTTGCCCAACTGTAAGCAGTAGAAGAAAAACTTGCCAGACAAAATATAGACAATTTATATAAAATTCGGAAATTGCTGCATTCCAAGTTGGTCTACTCTTCTGCAGGAAGAAATCCATCCCTTGTACACCAGTGTACGCATTAGAATAAGAACCACTCTTTGCTTAAGAGCAGGTTGTAAAAAGTGAATATCATGCAAGATAAACTGCTTACCAGGTGACGTMTTTTTTTAAGCTCTACTACTGGGAATTGCTTGCTGAACAAAGGCACACATTTGTTTTTCTCCTAAGCCTAAACTATAGCATTCTTGAGATTCTAGAAACCTAAAAATGAGCTTTCACTTTTTTTTATTGTTGCTGTTATTATTACGCAGGTCTCCTTTCACCCCATCACCCCATTCTGTGGTCCGAACCCACAGAAACAAAGCTGTAAATACCTACTCTGAGACCACCAGCAGAACACGATCTCAACATGATCTCCCCAGGAAAACAAACTCAGCTTTTCATGAGGCTGCGACTTCATTCTCTCCCCTGAGGRCCATGCAGCAGCAGCAGGTAGGAGGGTACCCATCAGCTCAGGTGGAGCACAACTGTTTCTCCTCAGCTTCATGTTCCTGTCTCCAGTCACTCAGAAAACAGAAAATGGGCAGAGTGGCTTGGGGCCAGAGCTCAGCACTTCTTCTAAGCCATCAGGCTGATTCAAGTGGGAAAAGAAACCTTTTAATTAT